AGACACTACATAGAAGGATGTAGTGACTATGGAAAGGATAGGAGTTTTGATCTGAGAGATCAAAGATATGGTGAGTTCAGCCATAAGGCAAATCAACTGACACATATGATTTCTAAAAGCAATGAATTATTATTATTAGTTATTATCATTAGTTCCATCACTGATAAAAGTTTAAACTGTTTGGTATAGTCTGGGCAATGCTACCAACAAAAGCCAAACTAGTTTAAAATTAAATTTGTAGCTTAATTCAATTCAACAAATATTTATTTGAACGGCTGCAGCACCTTGCAAATAGGAACTAGAGGAGTTGTAAATTTGGGTAAGAAACAATCCCTGCCCTCAGAGTTTATAGTCCAGGTGGCTAATAGGACATGATAATAGGTACAATAATAATTCTTTATCACTTTAAGGTCTGTGAAGCACTTTACAAATGTTATCTCATTTTACCTTCGTAACAACCCTGTGAGGTTGATGCTATTATTATTCCTATTTCACAAATGATGAATCTGAGACAGAAAGTTAAGTGACTTGTCCAGGTCACAAAGCTATTAAGGACCTCTGAGGCTGATTTGAACTCAGGTCTTTGAACTCCAGGTCCAAAGACTAAGGGAAGCATAAACAAGGTCTCATAGACAATATATAGCAGAAGTTAGATTCAGATCCAAGTCCCCTAACTAAATCAATGCTTTTTCCACTGCACTGGGGAAAAGATAAGAAATTCAATTTGGGGTGTATTGAGTTTGAAATGCCAATGAGAAGTCCTGTCTTGATAGATATGCCCTAGAAGGATTCATGTATATCCAGAACTCAGAAGAGGTGGGGAGTGGAAAAAGATTTGGGTGTCATCTATATTATAGTAATAGCTGAAACTGTGGAAGTGAGATTACCAAGAGAAGAGAATCAAGAATAACACTTTAAGGGATGCATACCTTAAGACATTGAGATGAAGGGTCAGAGAAGTTAGAAAGGTAGGCCAGGAAAGCGTGGAAATCTCTGAAGCGAAAGGAGAAGAATATATTCAGAAAGAAAATGTAGGCAATGGTATCTATTCTGAATGCAAAATTTTCGAGGAAACAGTACTAGAAATGGAAGAAAGAAGGCCTCAGTTGCAATCACAACTCTTATCACTAGCTGCATGACTATAGACAAGTCACTTCACTCCTCTGGAGCATACTGGGATAGTGTTTATATAATTACTTCTAAGAGTATTATGAGGAAAGTGCTTCATAAGTTGCAAAGTACTACCTATATAAATGTGCACAACTGCAATTGAAACGATCTTTTGACTTCTCATTTCTTTCCAGACATCTTGTTTAAAAATAAGTTGCCCATAAATTTCTTCCAAACAGAAAATATAATAGTGAGCTTACCCATAATTGTTACACTTAAGTGTAAATTTCATGAACTGAGCAGACTCACAAAGCAAAAGAAGCAAAACTCCTCTTTCTCATAAGAACATAATTTATGCATTTTACATTGACAAATTCCTTTAATATCTCAAAAAGAGATAGAAACCTGACTGCAGGCTAACCACTTAGCAAACAGCTGATCAAAGTTTACTGAGTAAACCAATATTCTGGCACTAGTACCCACTTGTAAGCACAAACACTATAAGCACTACACAAACAGAGAAACCACTTAGGAAAAAAACCCCAATATTCCAGAGATTTAAATTCCTTCACTTTCAAATTACTAAAACATGGCAGTATACCAGGAACAACTTGGGGGGAGGGGGGAATTAAACTTTAAAACAGCTAAAAGTAGCACCAGTCAATCGAAAAACATTTATTAGGCACCTACTATGTAGGTGCACTATACTAGGCACAGAAACACTGGAGATACTAAATATAACGAATGAAACAATCCGTACAGTCAAGGATCATACATTCTAACAAAGGAGTTTATGTTACCACACCTTTAGACAAATACAACCAGCAAGTAAGTTTGTCTTGCTATGTCTTATAACCAATCCCTATTTGGGGGATGGGAGAGAAATAAGGAAACATGGTTTATTTCACCTTCCTGAATTAAATTACAATCTCTATCTGCTATCATATTTTAACAATAACCTAAATATTGCACACTCAAACTTTGCAACAAAGTAGAAAACTTTCTTTCCCTGAAAATATGGTTAAGTCTAAAAAGAGGCTAACATCAACAGCTCAATCAAAACAAGGCAGGCTGTTAGAATCTAAAACAGAGGTAAAAAGTTTGATCTTAACTCTCCTGAATCTGATCAGAAAATGGCTTTCCCTCCTCTAAGAAGAGGGAAACAACAGTAGAATCAAAAACTCTTGGTCAGAAAGGACTTCAGAAATGACCTAGTCGTACCATATAACGGAAACATAAATTCCCTCTAAATCTTCCTCAATAAGTGAGCTCTATTACTGTTTGCTTGAAGAAATCCAGCACCTGGGAACTCACACTTATTCAGGGTGTAGACTCCATTATAGAACTGGTCTATTTTGGGGGGGAAGAGGGAACAGGGGCTGAAGCTTTGACCTGGTGTACAGAAATTCCAGATGAGGAAACTCCTTCTACCAATTTAAGTTGGCACCTTCTCTGCAATTCAGAGTCTGAAACAGCTGCCTAAGCACTAAGAGGTTAAGTGATGTACCCAAGGCCACAAGCGCTGCGTGTTTCAAAGACTTAAGACTTAAACCCTGATCTTCGTGGCTTGGACCCCGGTTCTCTGTCCATAATACTGCCCCATACCTCTCCTAATTTTTAGGAAGTTTCAAAAATATGCCACTCTGAAAATGTGTACCCACTTGTTCCTACTTCTGCCCCCTGGGGCCAAGTAAAAGAAACCTAAACCCTATTCTCCATGGGAGTGAGGGAAAGAGAGAGAAACTTCAAATTCTTCAGTACAAACGGCTATCAAAATCCCAATATCTAAAAACTTAGAAGACCTTCAGAAGGTATCTACACCAACTCATACCTGAGCAGCAATACTTTCTACAGCTTTCCCAAGAAGTTAGGCCAGCAAGTCTCTATGTGAAGACCTCTAGGGAAGAGGAGATCTGATGTGGCCCATTCCACTTTTGCTCAGCTGTGGTCTGGCAGGAAGTTTTTCCTTACATCGAGGCTCAATCGCTGCAACTTCTATCTACTGCTCCTAATTCTGCTCCCGGGGGCCAAGCGGAGCAAGTTCGATACCTCTCGCACATGACAACCTTTCAAACACTTGAACTGTAACTTTCCCCTTAAATGACAGAATCAGAGCGTCTCAGAACTGAAAGGGGCTTTACGAAGCATCCCGCAGATCTCCTGAAGCAAGCAAGATCCCTGCCACATCGCCGACAAGCAGGCATCCCGCCCCTGATGTAAGACCAGCCAAGAAGAGGCATCCCCAGATCTCAGCTGGGAACTGCCAGGCGAGCGAGCTGGAAGATCCGACCCCGGAGGCCCCTGTGGACCTCAGGCGACCGTCCATGCCCCCGTATCCCCTACCCCCATGCCAAGATCTGCCGCTGACTTCTTGGGTCCCCTTCTCTCTGCCTACCTCAGTTTCCCCATCTGTTAAAGCGAGGGGGGAGCTGGAGCAGAGAATGTCTCAAGTCTCCTCTAGCTCTTTCTGTGGCTACTGCCCCCTTCTCTGCATGTCGGCTCCACGGGGTGGAGAGAAGGCGAGACCGGGGGTGGGAAAAAAAGGGGCACAGAAGCCGCCGGGGGGCGGGGAGGTGCCGCCGCCGCCGCCCCGACTCCTCGGGGCTCCCGGAGCTGACAGGGGCGGGGGCCGGGACGGAAAGGAGGGAAGAAGGGCGGGAGGACTCTCAGTTGCACCGCTCCCGGAAGACGCGGGGGCCCCGGAGTGAGCGCGCTGCGGCCCCGCCGGCCCGGCCCAGAAGCTCGGCCCTTACCTTCAGGTCGTTCTCCGGCAGATACTTGCAGAGCCGCGCGATCTCCACATACTTGTCCAAGTCCAAGGGCGCCATTTTAGGAATAACAACCCGCAGTGGCGGCGGCGGCGGCGGCGGCGGAGAAGGCCGAAGCCGGAACTCGGTGCAACGTCACTTCCTGTAGATGCGAAGCGTTTCTGCGTCAGGGCGTGAAAGTTTGCCCTTCCGCTTCTTCCTTCTCCCCGCCCCTACGACCCTACTTCTGAATGGCTCAAAACTGAAAGTCGCGGGAGTTACACGGAAGAGAAGGACCTGTGGTACTCTCGAAACTTACCAGGACCCGTAGGGTCCTCCCAGAAGCCGCTAAGCCGGCTGGGACTTGTAGTTTCCCATGTCAAGCAGCGCTTGTTATACCTCTGGTTTATTCACATAAACGCACTTATTGCACATGTATATACCTACATGCACCGGGCAAAGGCCGCCTTGTCCTGTGTAGGGGATCGATGCTGAATTGTGACGTGGGAGAACCTTCTCTGGACATTCACGCCGTGGAGCCCTCGACTTTGCCCCTCCCCGCCCTGTGTGATTCTCTGTCCCTCGCCTCCCCTTTGCCCGCGTCCCCCAACTCAGAATCCAGTTCACACCCTGGGCCCTTCGTACTTTTCCAAGCTTCTTACGCTTTATTCTCCCCCATGTACTCTACGATCCAGTTACACTGGCTTCTTTTCTGTTCCTCCCACAAGACACTCCATCTCCGGACACAGAACGTTTTCGCTAGCGATTCCCCATGTCTGGAATGCTCTCCTTCCTTGTCTCCGCCTTCTGCTTTCCCTGGCTTCCTTCAAGTGACTGCACACATTCCACCTTTTTTCAAGAAGTCTTTCCCGATCCCCTTTATTGCTAGTGCCTTCCCTTTGAGATTACATGCAATTTATCCTGTACATATCTTGTTTGTACATAGTTGTTTGCATGTTGCCTCCCCGCTGGGCTGTGAGCTCCTAGAGAGCAGGGGTTATTTTTTGCCTTTCTTTGTAACCCCAGCGTTTAGCAAATGCCGGGCACCTAGTAGGAACTTGTAGGCGGACTGACTGATCTCCAGGTACGGAGGTGGGGGCTAGGGGGAGGAGGGAGGGGAATCCCCTGCGCGTCACAGGCCTGGGGGATGCACCTAGGCACGCCCGTGTCCTTCCCGGCGGCGCCAAGCAGAGGACAGCCCCAGATACTGGAGGGAACTATCTGACTGACTCCGGACTGGGATCCCAATCCAGGTAAACAAGTAAGTGGCATCATAGAAAGTGTCCTAGGAGACATGAGACCTGGATTCCAGTCTGGACTCTGGTTCCATGCTCTTTGTGTCCTCTCTCTGGGCCTCAGTTGTCCTCATCTTTAAAATGAGGGGTTTGAACCATATTATCTTCAAGCTGCCTCCCAGTTCCGACATTCTACACACTCTGCCGACCTCGGCAGTTAACTTCAGCAAGTCACTTCCCTTCTCTGCGTCTGTTTTTGCCTCTTCAAAATGAGTCGATTGTAGATGTTCGCTGAAGTCCCCTCAGTCCATAAGTACACAGACTTAGTACTCTGGATTCTCTGTATATGGCTGACTCTCATTCCAGGGCTCCGAACTGCTCTTTTAACATGCAAGAATGAGGCAGAAGTGAGGCTGTGATTTTTTTTAAGATAGGTATAACAACTGTTGACATTTATATACCTTTTTAAAGAGCTTTTAAAGCTTTGCAGTATCTCATTTGCTATTTACAACAGTCCTGTGAAATATGGATTGAAGCTATTATTAAAATTTGTGGATTATCCAAAAATTGCATAATGCTTAACACCCTTTGAACCCTTTTTGCCACTTTGCCAAAGTCACTTTTGAAGTGGATAGGAGCCACATAGGACCGTGGCCTTTAAGGTCTTTTTAATCAGTCAGTAGATTTAGAGTTAGAAGATCTGAATTCATATCCTGACTGTAACATCCTACCTTTGTGACCTTGAGCAAATCTCTTCTCCTTTCTGGGCCCCACTTTCTTCACCTTTAAAATGAAAGTCTCAGACTTCAAGCTTTAGATGTCCTGATTACTAATGAGAAATGAGTCTATATAATAGGCTCTGAACTTCTCAGGGGAAAAAAAATAGTTCTGACAGGGTATAGGCCCTGGAAACCCTCCCAGCCCCCCCAACTTCACCTGAACTCTCCCACATGGCCCTGGCATTTGCCTGAGGCTCCTCTCAATATAATCCTTTCAACTGTCCTAGCATTATGGCTTTGACCCTGCCCAATTTCCAATTCTGTTATCTCTAACCCAGCCCAGCCCTCGTTGTCTGCACCTGGACCCACCTTAGATCGCTACTCTTTGATTGCATCTAGACTCCTATGTGACCCAGGTCCCTGGCATTCACGTGGGGCACCCCTGGCCCTTCTGAGTCCTTCTCTGTTACCTCCCAGTCACCCCAGACTACTGGGTCACTTCTTGATCACATCCCGATCTTCCCACAGTCTTTCTGTATGTAAGGTATATCTTGCCCCCATTAAATTGCTCAGATTCCTTAAGAGTCTGGCCTGCTTGTCAACACAAGCATCACTAAATAGCTCGGATTCTTAAAATCTTGTCTCTGACTGAAAGAATTAAAAGCCAAGGGAAAAACCACAAGAAAGAAGAAACAAAAAAAAAAGAGAGAGAAAATAATATGCTTTGATCTGCATTCAGACTCCATCATTCTTTTTCTGGATGTGGATAGCATTTTCCATCATAAGTCTTTTGGAATTGTCTTAGATCCTTGTATTGCTGAGAGGAGTTCAGTCTATTACAGTTGGTCATCCCACAATGCTGCTGTTACTGTGTACTATGTTCTCCTAGTTCTGCTCACTTCACTCAGCATCAGTTCAAGTCTTTCCAGGTTTTTCTAAAGTCCACCTGTTCATTGGGACCATACTTCTTAACCTCAGCCATTTTCCATCATGCTGACATGACTATATATCTTCCTCACCCTCATTTCCTTCCTCATCTTGTTCTGGAAGCTGTATTCAAATCAAGACTACCATTACTTCATGAAAGAATATGTTAGTAGACTCCCCTATGGCATTGCTCACCATTCCTATGACTTAACCTAGACCAAAACGTGCTTTCCTGACCACCACTTAACCATTAGAACATAAAATCTTTGAAAGCAGGAACTAACTCACTTTAGTATTTGTATTTTCAGTGCTTAGCATGGTGCCTGGCACATAGTAAATGCTTAATAAATGGAGGTTTTTTTCTTCATTCAGGCAGTCATGCCTGAGACCTCCAATGGGTTGGAACCCATTCCACTCTTGGACAGTTGCAATTATTACAGAAAGGTTTTATTTGCACAAAGCCTTTCTATATTTATCCCTCCAAGATTCTCCACCATTAGAGGGAAAAGGCTAGAAAGTTCTATACCCAATTGTAAAGGCTTTGAGTACAGCCTGGTGACAAAGTGTTTGTCTGTTGTTAGAGGACTAACTCAGCCAGCTACAGAGAAACTCATCACCAAGAAGGCTGGCCATCAGTGCATGAAAATTTAGCCACATCAACTCATAAAGACCATGTGGAAAGGGCTTCAATCTTTAGCCATGGCAGGAAAAGTCATACCCAAGATTCTCTCTCTCTCTCTCTCTCTCTCTCTATTTAGTGCTTATCTTTAGCTAAGAGGAATAAGATACCGATACAGTTAACTCTAGTCCATGATAAGTGAATGAGAGACATGTAAACAAACTGCTCTGTCAGTTCCAAGAAGAAAAGGTCCTTACCAATAGAAGAAATAAAGAAAGGCTTCTTGGAGAAGTTCACATCTGAGTTGGGCTTTAAAATATAAATTGAAATTGGATAGCTTAAGAGGGTATTCCAGGCATGGGGAACATCATAAGGAGATGCCCAAAGGCAGGGAAAGGGCAAGGTATACTTAGGGCACAGAGAAGAGTGAAGTTTGACCGTAGTAGAAAGTAGGTGGAGGGGATTATTAATAGGAGATATGGGAGAAATGTAAAATGGCAGGGGTTTCAATGCCCACCCTGCTTCCCACACTGGGTTGTTGTAGGGATCACACAAGATGTTACCTGTGAAATAGTTGTGAAAAATATAAAGTGTAATACAAGCATGAAGGATTATTATTACAAGCCCTCCTTCTTGATTGGTCTGGGTCAGTTACCAATTTGGCAACTAAAGGCTGAGGTGTCTTTTTATCCTGGAGCAAAGTATTTACTACTCACTTTTCCTAAGTGCCTTGCAATGTGAAGGTCCCTCAGGAAGACAGATCTTTCTCTCTCTATAACAGACATTTACTAGAAATTGGAAGGGAAAAGTCTCCTGGAACAGTAGGTAAGTGCCTGGAATGGGGAATGTGACAGAGTGATACATCAAGGTTGTATGGTAGAGAGGTAAATTGTGCAAGCAGTGTGGCTTAGTAGAAAACATGGTGGTCCCAGAGTCATAAGACCTGAGTTCAATTCCCAGATGTGGGACCTGAGGTAAATTGAATAATTTCTTTGAGCCTCATTTTCTTCATCTGTAAAACAAGGATGTTAATACTTGTACTTCTTATTTCAGAAGGAAGTTTTAATCATTTAAAAAGTGTGGCAACAGTAATGAGCTCTATATATGATCTATTATTTTTATCTTAGCATTGAATGACTGAACTTGGGCAAGTTTTCTTGAATGCCATAGACTCCAGCTAGTTCCCCCCTTTCAAACATGGTCTTGCTGGTAAAAGTCTTCACTGCATTATGAGAATAGGTTGTTCCTATTGCTTTCAAGCTTCACCTAGCTTTTAAAGTTCCCTTAAAAAAAATTGGCTTAAAATGACACTGGATGGCAGACATACTACAAAGTACATTGGTATAGGGGAAAGAGCCCTGGATTTGGAGCCAGGAGAACTTGGTTTTGTTTGGAACATTTACTAATGGTATGTCCCTAAAAGAAGACATTTCTCTTCCCTGATATTCAGTTTCCTGATCTGGAAAATAAGAAAAGTAACAGAATAATAAGTTTGAGGAAAGCTCTTAGTCAACTTAAGATTGTTCTAGAAAGGGAAGTTATGGCATAGAGTTCTGTTTAAATATCTTCATTTGCAGACAGCAGGATGTTGTATGATATGTGTAACTTACTGGATTGTGGTAAATTTCATGAGAGTAATACCTGTCTTAATTAGCCTTTTGTCTTGCTCAGTACCTAGCAATTAGAATCTACCACAGAACATTCTGCTCATTGTAGGCCCTAAATGTTTTTAGAATGAATTGATAAAGACATGAAAAAAACAATGCCTTAAAGTAACTGAAAAGAAGAATTACTTTGGGGATAATCCTGAATTTTTTTTTTCAAATGGGAAAATGTCCTGTTTAGAATACTAGGAATCTGAATGCTAGAAAGTTACTGGCTCTTTTTTTTTTTAACTTGACAGTACTCTTTCCAATACTTAATGATACTTCTCATGTTACTTGTTAATCCCTCTATCTGAACCTCAGTTTCCTAACCTGTAAAATGAATGGTTGGACTCGTTGATCTCTAAGGTCCCTTACAACTCTAAACTTTCTTGTGAACATATTTGGCTGCCAGGCCCTAAGTGTCCCAAAGACTACTTCAATAGGGACACCCTGACAAAGAGATGATCACACAGGAAGGATCTGGAAGCTGACTACCCCAACTGTATTTACAGCTTCCTAGGAAGACAGTTTTAGTCTTGACCACCAGCAAATCATTTCACCTCTCTGTATCTCAGTCTCTTCATCCATAAAATGGTCATTATAATACTTCTACTACCTGCCTCTTTGTAAGGGTTTTAAGGAAAGTGCTTTGTACACCTTAAAGCATTACAGTGATTCTCAGACATTTTGGTCTCAGGATTCCTTTTTACTCTTAGATTTTATTGAGGACCCTCTCCCAAAAAGCTTTTGTTTGTATGGGATATGTTTGTGGTTATTTACTATATGTTAGAAATTTAAATGTTTTAGTATGATTATGAAAATAATTTTTACCTCCAGAACCCTAAAAGGTCTCAGGAACCCTTCATGCTTTGAGAACCATGCACTATAGAAATGTGAGCTTTTATTGTTGTTATTTTTCAACTAAATGGGAGACACAAGTTAGCTAGTCATTATGGGAAGAGCAAAATGAGCAGAGTTTGAACATTTTGTAAGGTAGCAACAAGGTGTCCTGGAAAGAGTGCTGATTCTGGAGTCAGAAGACCTAGCTTCAAGGCCACATAATAGGGCCTGTTTGACTCAGAGAAAGTCAGGTTCTTAATCTCTCAGTGCTCCAGACAATTTTCCAAGACTATAAATTACAGAACAGCAGATCTTCAGAGGGGGTTTACTTGCTGAGAGTTCCATATTCCACTGAAACCATGGTTCAAGGACAAAAGATATTATAATAACTCATATTTCAGAGCGTTCAAGGTAAAGCACACATAACCTCACTGGATCGTTCTGAGGATCGAAAGAGATAAAGTAGGTAAAACACTTTGCAAACCTTAATGCGCTACAAAAATAAAAGCTATTATTATTATGCCTTAAAGCGCTGTAGAAATGTGAGTTATTATTGTTATTACAGAACCACCAAGGCACCTACTTTACCCTCAGCCACAGAAGGCAAATCTCTCGGCTTTCCCCTCCCCCGTCTATCAGTGCGGGCAGAAGGTGGAGCCCCAGGCTCTAAACGGGGCGGATCCTGTGGCCCGGAGAGACTGAGGCCACTCGCTCGCCTGAGCAAGGCAGGTATCGTGGTAACGCTGTCCTGGGCCCCACACATTCTGGAGCTTCCCCAGCCCCCAGATCGAGCCGATAGCGGGCGAGAGCTTAATACACAGGAAGCAGTTTTGGGGGTGAGAGGGAAGGGGTGGAGTGGAGCTACGGGATTGGGGGTGGGGGTGGGGATGGGGATGGGGAGGCGGGAACTGGAAGGTTTGTAAAGGTGACAAGGGAGAGTGGACAGCTTGGATCCGGAGAAGGGCGATTGAAACTACAATGGGAGAGCAGCATGTTAAGGGATGAGCACTTAAGGGATGAGCACTTGAAAACGGGCTATCCCTGTGTTAAAGCTTCTGCCGTTGCATATTTACTAATCGAGAGCACACGCGCCACCTCCTTCACTCTTTTATTCCCTTAATCCCACAAATCCAAAGTGGTTGACTACTCACTCCCCCAGGAGTATGGCTTGGTAGTTTACTGGGAACTGCATCTTTGGGGCTCTATGCAATAAACGTCTACAAAGACCAGCACTTGTTTTTCGTTTTGTTTTTGTTTTTTAATGCCACGGAAATGAAAAGTCCTCACGTCAAAGCTTACAGCTTTCCTGAGCCTGGCATTATCGCAAGGCCTTTGGTAACAAAAGTGAGTTGCTAAAAAGTCCCTCCATTTCACCTTTATAGGATACCATGACGCTACTTCAAGTCTTGGAACCTGGAGACTGCCCCCAGAAGGCAACATGGTCAGTAATGGAAGATTTGAGTACATACTTTTGCCAATAACTAGCTATAGCATATTGGGCAAAGTGCTTTAGAGAATATCAAGGGTTGGAAGGAAGCTTAGAGGGCATCTAGTCTTCAGGTGAGAAAACCAAGTAAAGCAGCTTACCTAAAGTCGTACTACTAGCTAGCTAGTGACAGAGCCAGGAGTCACTGGAAGGGACCTTAGCAATCATTTACAGTAGTCCAAACTGGTCATTTTACAAATGAGGAAACTGAAGTACAGCGAGGAGAAAATACTTATCCAAGGTCAGTGGTGTCAAACTGCAACAGAAGGAGATCACTATATGTATATATGGATCCCTGAAGGCTGCATATTGACTTAGAAAACCACATTTTAAAATTATCTGTGTTTTATTGTATTTTTATTTATTTTGTTAAACATTTCCCAATTACATTTTAATTTCGTTCAGCTGCACTGGAAAGGTTTGTGGGCCACATGTAGCCTACAGGCTAGCTGTTTGACACCTCTGTCCTAGTTCATATAGCTAAGGTAGTCAGGGGAGTGGCATCAATTTGAGCTCAGGTCTTCTATTTGACTCCCAAGTCCAGTGTTCTTTCCATCCTATCATCCCCTTTTGTGGGCCTGTTTGCTCCTCTGTCAAATCAGAGGGTTGTATTCCATAACCATTAAGGCCCCATCCAGTTCCAAAGTGCTATGATTTAAATGAAATAGTTTACAATTTAAAAAAAAAAAGATGGATAGAGACCCTATAGAACTCTATAGACCATATAGATCTTCCTGCAGTCATAAATTTTGGTTGGACTTATTATTTCATCAGTATAGAAAACTCCATTTACTTATGCAGCTCTGTGATTTAGAATTTTGGGAAACTAAGTGACTTTCCCAGAGTTACAGAGTTACTTTGTGTCAGAAAAAGGACTATGAAGCTAGCTTTCCCTGACTCTAAGCCTACTTCTCTGCCTACTACTCCATGCTGCCTCTCACAAAAAGAGTACCCTCTGTATTTAGGTTCAAACTGATTTTTTTAAGAGGATCAGAGGCATAATTATTGCAAAGCAGATAATCATTTTACTAAGTGCATTTATTGGGTAGAATTAAATCAATGACTATCTAATGTTCTTGGTTTTAAAGCTAATGCTGGTGATTTCTTACTATGCATTATTATTTCACAAAAAAAATTTCCAGTATGAGAATATGGTTTCAGTTAAATTGGCATCACTATTCCTCTACCCATTGCTCAGAATAGCAATGGGGTTCTCTTCAGAAGCAGTGAGGTACAATAGAAAGGGCCCTATTTTTAGAGTCAGAAACCCCTAGTTGGAATCCCAGCTTCAATACTTCCTGACTGTGTGACCCTGGGCAAATTACTCTAGTCAGTGAAAAAGGAAAAACATGTACCTTTCTTCTACACGAATTAGCTGACTCTAGGTAAATCACTTAATCTCTCTGAACCCTAGTTTTCTAATCTATAAAATGAAAAAGGTTAATGAGATAATCTCTAAGGTCCCCTCCTGCTCTAAATTTCACAATTCTATGATGAGATGCCCTCTAAGTTCAATTTACGTCTCTGAGGCTCAGATATTTCCTATGTAAAATTGGCAGGTAATAATGCTCCTACCACCTACCTCCTAGGATGATTGTAAGACTCAAAGAGATAATATGTCTAATCAATTAGTGAAGAGCTATATATGTGATAGCTATTGTTATACTTGTCCTATCCATGTTCAAAGGGCAACTCCACTGGGGACCCAACTGGCCAGTTGCAGTTGGGCAACTCAGCTCCTTCCTTCCTTCTTCCTTCTTTCTTTCCTTCCTTCTTTCCTCCCTTCCTTTCTTCCTCCTCCTTCCCTTTCTTCCTCCCTTCCCTCCTTCCCTCCCTCTCCCCTGAACTCCTTTTCTCCCTCCCTCCTCTCCCTCTGTCCACATAGGGAATCATACCCTTACCTGCAGGTGCTCTGCCCAAACGAATATAAATTTTGATCTCTGAAATCTTGCAAGACGTCTTGGAGTTTACAGATTAGATTTCTTTTTAGGGATCATGCTTTAAACCCAAAGCATTGATTGGTCAACAATAGGTCCCAGCCCAAGCCTCACTTGGTTATCATTTGGCCTCGGATAGTTCAGAGTATACAAATACCAACTGTTTCTGTTTTGGCCAGAAACCCTGAGGGTCTTCCCCTCCCAGATTAATTTTTTTTTTACTTGGTAAAAGAGGTCATTCTTTACCTCATTTCTTACCCAACCTTAATCATTGAATGAGCATTGTCTCAGACAAACTGAGACCTTGGAAAAACCTTAGCTTAAAAAGGCTAAGGCATCCCACTGCATCAGGGGCCATCCCCAGTCATCCTGATCTGTATCTTGTCTCTGGACCCAGATGGCTCCAGAGGAGAGAATAAAGCAGGTGATTTTGCACAGCCCTGCCTCACTTAAATCCAATTCACTTGCAAGTCACAACATCACCTTCCCCATGTCCTGGTCTTCTTTGAAAATGAAGGACAAACAACAACAAAGAGAAGCTAGGTGGTACAGCAGATAGAGTTCGGGGCCTGGAGTTAGGAAGACTCATCTGCCTGAGTTCAAATCTAGCCTCAGATACTTACTAGCTGTGTAACCCTGGCAAGTCACTTAATTCTGTTTGCCTCAGTTTCCACATCTGTAAAATGAGCTGGAGAAGGAAATGGCAAGCCACTCTGATATCTTTGCCAAGAAAATCCCAAATGGGATCAGGAAAAGTCATGACTGAAAAAAGACTGAATGACAGTTTTGGATGACAGACCCTGGGCCAAGAGAAGTCAAGAGGCCACAGTTCTAGACCCAGTTCTAGTACACCTTAGATAAATGTCCCTTGAATAAGTTTTTGTGACATTTCTGAACCTGAATTTCCCCATCTTCAAAATGAGAAGTCCAGGAATGAAAGCTGGACTGAGAGTCAGAAGCTCTGAGTTTGAATTCTGACTCTTCCACCTATATACAAGGGCATGACCTTATGTCATCACTTGACCTCAGTTGCTTCATCTTTAAAATGAGGGAATGAGAGAAGATGATGACCTTTTAAAAATTTACTTCCAACTGTTACCCTGGGATCCTATGACTAATTTTAACTGGTTATTGTGAAGTGAAAAGAGTGAAAACACACACACACACAAACATACAAAGGTACTACTATATAGAAGTTAGGCAGCAAATTAGCTGTAATGAATATATATATTATGACATGGATGATACAAGCTGTATTACCCCCATTTTACAGAAGAGAAAACTAAAGCTCAAAAAAGATCAAGTGACTTTTATATGGTCACAGAGCTAGTGTAACCCAGCTCCATTGACTCCACTTCCAGTTCTGTTTCTACTACACCACCACACTGCTTCTATTCACATGGAAAAATGCTCCTTTGAATTATATAATCACACTGTGCACGAGACTCCTTTTCCCTGGTGCATATTTAATGGTGAAGGAAAGCATACACCACTTCATTTATTTATCACCCTGCTGTCTTGAACACAAAATCCTGTTGGCAGGTACTCCTTGGCTCCCCCTGGACATGGCCCCTGTGCTCGAGTTGGCCATAACTGCCTCTACCTTCCCCCTGGTCAAGATACAGATCAAGGAAAAGTCTTCGTGGTAGGGGGAGCAAATCCTAATGGCAGCTTCTCGGATGTGTACTACATTGATCTGGGTAAGATTAAGAGCTGCAGAGTGTCTTGATTTCAAACTGTACTGTCCTTTTGGTTGGGGTTGCCAAAGAGAGATTTCTATAAAATTTTCAGCCAATTCAGTTTGAATTGGGCTTATGGCTTGAACCCCAACTCTACCACTTACTGTGTGACCTTGAGCAAATCCTTTAAACTCTCTGAGCCTCAGTCTCCTCATCTGTAAAGTGAGGAGGCTAGATTCACAAGCTCTAAGGTCTCTTTCAGTTTTATTACCTTGGGATCCTATGACCAGTCCTAACATTATTGTGAAGTTAAAAGGAGTGAAAACACTGAAAAAATAAAAATGTGCTTTATAGAGGTAAGGCCATTTATGTTTCTCTTGCAGTCAGGCATATTGAGGGTGAATCCTGGCTTTATTTCTTACTACCTGTGTAACTATGGACAAGTCGCTTAACTCTCTAAGCTTCAATTACTTCATCCATAACATGAGGAGGCTTGACAAAATGATCTCTAAGGTCCCTTGCAGCTACACAGCTTATAATCATGTGGCTCCTGAGCTTCAACTTCCTCATCTATAAAATGGGGGTAATATTTGCACTGTTAAACTCCCAGAAAGAATCTGAGAAATCTGTTAATTAACAAAGTGCTCTATATGTATAAGCTATCATTATTATATTATTAGCAATCTTCCAGGATTGTTTGCATATAGGAAACAATAAATGCTTTTTCATTTATTCATTCATTCAAATGAGATAATGGTCATAAAACTCTTAATAAGCTTTCAACTTCAGATAAATCTCAATGTGTATACAGACAGCCTTCACTGGGGAAGATCAAACTCTTCACCTCATGCTATGCAATTCTTGCCCATATCTTTCCCCAATATATTAAAAACTTCCCTCTAGTCTTTCTCATATTAAAGAAGAACTAGTAAACACTAATATAAATGTGAGTTATTATTTTTCCCCACTTAATGCTATTGTATTTTTTCCAATTACATGTTAAAATAGTTTTCAGCATTCATTTTTACAAGATTTTTTTCTCCCTTCCTCCCTCCCTTCCCCCCTCCTCAAGATGGCAAGTAATCTGATATAGGTTGTAAATGTATAATCATATTAAACATGTTTCCACATTAGCCATGTTGTGAAAGAAGAATCTGAACAAAAGGGAAAGACCACAAGAAAGAAAAAAAAGAGAAAGAAAAAATAATATACTTCCATCTGTATTCAGACTCCATAGTTCTTTCTCTGGATGTGGATCGCATTTTCCATCATGAGTCTTTTGGAATTTTCTTAGATCATTGTATTGCTGAGAAGAGCCAAGTCTCTCAAAGTTGGTCATTGCACAATGTTGCTGTTACTGTATTCAATGTTCTCCTGGTTCTGGTGAGCTATTAGTGTTATAGAAAATTCATTGTTCTGGGGCAGCTAGGTGGCGCAGTAGATAGAGCTCCCACCTTGAAGTCAGGAGAAGCTGAGTTCAAATCTGATCTCAGAAACACAACACACGACACTTACTAGCTGTCTGACCCTGGGCAAGTCACTTAACCCCAATTGCCTAGCAAAAAGCAAAAGAAAATTCATTGTTTTCATTTTGTTTAAGGAAGTTCGGACAGGTAGGTTCTGGAATCAATCACTCTCCTATTATTCTTTTATATTCAATGTTCTATGGATGATCGTTGAATAAAATAACTTTTTTGTAGTCAAGTAAAAGTGTTGGGATGTTGGGTTTGTCTTCTATAGACTCATGAAAAGTATTCTCAGTAAATTATACTTTGTATCATTATTAACATACACTTAGCAGATGCCTTCTTATCTTGTAAACTATTTGGATCACTTCAATTCAATGAATATGTACTAATTGTCTGTTACATGTAAGGTCAGTTGGCTGACTGTATTTACAATTGACATGTACACAGAAGATTACTTCTTTGCCACAAGCAACATAAGCCAGGTTATCTAGGAAAGGAAACTGACCAGCCAGCCCAATAATTGTTGAAAATGTTTTACAGCTACCCATCAATGGAATGAAGTAGATTGTGAGGGTCTATTGGCCCGCTATGAGCATGCCAGCTTCCTTCCTCTCAGCACCCCTGGCAGGATCTGGGTATTTGGAGGAGCAGACCAGTCAGGGAACCGAAATTGCTTACAAGCATTGGATCTTGGTAAGTGCTTCATGGCCACCTTCATTCCCTGATGAGGAAATCATCTCATTCCCTATGGAAGAAATTATTTGGATTGTAGTGAATAACTGTATGACAAAGCTGATGTTACAGAAAATAAGAATTGTATTTCCTAGAATAATCTGAAAGTAGATTAGATTTTCTTGATTTATGTTTGAGAAAATGTGCAGTCCTTCACATGTTTTATTCTATTCTGTTCTTCACATTTTGGAAGGACATTGAAAAACCAGGGTATATCCAGAGGAGAGAGACAGTAGGTGATATAGTGAATTTAGAGGAAATACAGGTTTGAATCCTGCCTCTCACCTCAGTATGTCACTTAACCTATCTAGGCCTCAGTTTTTTCATCTATAAAATAAAGGAATTAAAATGAATTGTTTCTAGATTTAAATCCTGTGATTCAAGTATGTGGCAGGATAATGTTGTAGAAGGAATTCTTACCTGAGTAGGGAGTTGGACTAAATGACCCCTAAGGTCCACTCCAACTCCAGAATTCTTTGATTCTCTACTGATCAGCTGTTGGAATCGTTGCATCTGAGTTGGTTTTCCAGGATAGGGCATGGGATATACTGAACCATTCATACAATTTTGCCCAGTTTCCCTTGTGAACAATATATTTTTCAGAATCTCAGAGCCAGGAAGAATCACAAATAGTCATCTAGCTTCTATAAAAAAAAATGTCCAAGGACAGGGAGTTCATTCCCTCTCAAGTCAACGCATCCTGTTTTTGGATAACTCTGATTATTAGGATGTTTTTCTTCATATGAAGTAGAAATCTGCCTCTCTGCTACTTCCCAAACACTGTTCCTATAAGAATAAATCTAATTCCTCTTTCACAGAGCAGTCCTTCACAGAATCTAGGTTTATAAGAGACTTGGGAAGGCCAACCCAACCTTGAACAAGAACCCACAACCCCTAGGCAAGTGGTCCCCCTTTAAGACAGCTATCCTATTTCTCCCTATGCCTTCCAAGACCCAAGTCTTAGCCCTACCCACTCACCCACTTCTCTTAGCCACTTGTAACTCATTTTCAAGGTTAAGGAGAAGGGAAAAAATATTCTGCCTGTGCAAATCTGACTGGTCAGGATAGAAAACAGAATTAGGACCTTGACCTTATATAAGCTAAGTCTGGTAGGAGTTGTAGTAGAATATAGATGTTGATGATATTGAAATTTTCTGTTATAGGAACTGATACTACATCAGCTCCTGTCCCTTCCCTAGAAAATATAAATTTGACAATAGGCCAAGAAATATCAAAGACAGAGAACATTGTGGATGGCTTTTATAATTAAGACAAGTTGCAGAGATGGCACCATACTCTGAGATCCAGTGTGGGATAGAGGAAAGAATACAAGAGTTATACTCAGGGGCAGCTAGGTGGCGTAGTAGACACAGTACCAGCCCTGGACTCAGGAGGACCTGAGTTCAAATGTGGCCTCAGATACATAACAAAGGTGACCCGGGCAAGTCACTAAACCCCATTGCCTAACTGGAAAAAAAAAGGGTTGTACTCAAAGGCAGCTAAGTGGCGCAAAGTAACGCATTTTATATACTAGGAAACTGAGGCCCAACAAGGACAAGTGGCTTGTACATGGTCACAAAGCTGGTAAGTAGAAAAGTCAGGAACTGACCTCTCAGCGGCAACTCACATTTCTCAGTACTTTACAGAGCATTCCTGCATGAGACATTTCTGTAAGGGAGATAGTGTGAATGGGATTTTCTCCTTTTTACAAATGAGAAAAGTGAGGCTGTGGGGTGACGTGTCAAAACCAAGATTCAAGTTCCAAGTCTAGTACTCTTTCCACAATATTGTGCTTTGTCTCCTCAGCAATGGGCTCTGGATTAGAACACCGTGTACAAATGCCAGCTTTTATACTTGGCAGCAGCATGACTTGGGCCAAATCACTTTAGGTTTCTGAACTATCAGTTACTTCATGCTTTCCATCAGAGGCTGTTGTGAGGATTAAATAAAGTAGTATATGTTGAAAGTACTTGGTTTGTACTCATAAATCACTGCATAGATGCATATATATCATTATACTTATATGTGTATGTAATATGTATATATGCATCTGTATGTTTATATTTTTGCATCTATATATGTGTGTTTATGTTTATATAATTATGTATTTTATTCTAGAAGTGTGTGTGTATGTGTGTGTATCTAATCACAAAAAGTCTTAATGTAGTTTTAAGCTATTAAAGCTTTGTGGACATACACACACACATACACAGGATTTTCATTAAGATTTTGGTCAACTTTATAACAACTATGAGTTTTAGAGAACTCTGGGAGGTTTCTCCCATAGCTGGTATTCGTAGGGACAATAAGATAAATATTGTGATTTCCTACATGTTATAATTTGAGAGGGACCAGAAACTAACTTTCTCTCTCTCTCTTTCTCTCTCTCTGTCTGAGAGGCATTATTGTATAATGGTGAAAGTCAATCAGTTAACAAGCATTTATTAAATACTCATGATATGCTGTGTTCTGTGCTAAACTCTGAGAATACAAAGAAAGGCAAAAACATGGTCTCTGACCTCAAGAACATTATAGTTTAATGGGGTTGTGGGGGCAATGCAAAAGACTAGGTTATTTAAGATATACACTAGTCTTGGTCTTATAATCAATCAATAAACATTTATTAAGTACCTGCCTTGTCCTAGGTACTGTGCTTAGTGCGGGAGATACAAAAAGAGACAAAAGACAGTCCCTGCCCTGAAGGAGTTTACAATCTAATGGAGGAGACAGCATGCAAACAAATCTATACAAAGCAAGCTATAATACAGCATAACAAAAGAAATAATTGACAGTGAAGGCAGTGAAATTAGGAGGGGTTGGGGAATTAGGCTGTTATCCTTCATTCTCAAAGGGGACTGGAATAATATCACTATTAGAGTCAAGTTACAATGGGTCCGACTGTGGCTGATCAGACTAATATGAGCTCAAAATGCTCTACCACAGGTCGGGCACAAATAGTCCATATGAATGTTTGGGATGAATTCTCTAAATTTGCACATCTGGCATTTCTTTTGAGCTACTTTTTTTGCTTTGGAGATTTTAGTTGGGACTTAATAGAAGCTAGGGAAGTCAGTAGTTGAAGTAGAGGAGGGAGAACATTCCAGGCATGGGGGACAGCCAGAGAAAATCTGGGACCTGAGAGATAGAGTGTCTTGTTTGTGTAACAATCAGTATCATTGGATTGAAGAGTCCATGTTGGGTAGGAAAGATATAAGAAGACTGGAAATGTAGGAGAGGCTAGGTTATAAGGGTTTTGAATGTTGAACAGAGCATTTTGCATCTGATTCTAGAGGCAATAGGAAGCCACTGGAGTTTATTAAGCAGAGGTGCCTGTGTGATATGATTGGACTTGTGCTTTAGGAAAATCACATTAGTGGTTGAATGGAGGATCTACAGGAGTGAAGAGAGATTTGAAGCAAGCTGACTCACCAGCAGGTTATTGCAGTAATTCAGATGTGAGGTGATGAAGGCCTGCATTAGAGTGGTGGCAGTGTCAGAGGATAGAACGGTTTGTAAAGGTGAAATTGACAGGCCTTGGCAACAGACTGGCTGTGGGGAGTGAGAAATAGTAAAAAGTCCAGGATGACCCCCACATTTTGAGTCTGAGAGACTGAGAGGATGGTGTTGCCCTTTACAATAATAGGGAGGGTTGGAGGGGAGGGAAGGTTTAGGGGGAAAGATAATGAGTTTTGTTTTGGACATATCGTGTTTAAGATGACTACTGGACATCCAGTTTGAAATGACTGAAAGACAGTTGGAAATTGGAGGTCAGCAGAGAGTTTGGGGTAAGATAAATAGATTTGAGAATCATCAGCATAGAGATGGTAACTAAATCCATGAAAAGTGATGAAATCACCAAGTAAAATAGTATAGAGGAAGAAGAGAAGAGAACCTAGGACAGAAACCTAAGAGACATCTATGGTTAGAAGGCATTGACTGGAAGAGGATACAGCAAAGGAGACACAGAAGGAGCAGTCAGATAGGTATGAGGAGAACCAGGAGAGAGTGGTATTCGAAATACCTAGACAGAAGAGAGTATCCAGGAGGGGAGAGTGATCATCAGTGTCAAAAGCTGTAGAGTGGTCAATGAGGATTGAGAAAAAGCCATTGGATTTGGCAACTAAGAGATCATTAGTAACTTTGGAGAGAGCAGTTTCAGTGGAAAGATAAGGTCAGAAGGTGGATTGTAAGAGGTTAAGAAGAGAGAGAGAAGAGAGAAAGTGGAGTAACCTATTGTAGGCAGATTTTTTGAAAAGTTTAGTTACAAAGGGCAGAAGAGATATAGGATGGTAATTATTGGGGATGGAAGAATCAAATGAGGGTTTTTTCAGGATGGATGAGACATGGACATTTTGGAAACAGTAGGAAATGAGCCAGTAGAAAGGAAGAGATTGAAATAAGTGAAAGAATGGGAATGACATAGGGGGCAATCTGTTGGAGGAGACAGGATGGAATGGGATCACTTGAACAAGTAGAGGGGTTAGCCTTGGTAAGGAGTAAGGCCACTTCATCATGTGAGACAGAGGTGAATAAAAAGAAAGTGGCAGAAGTATCTGAGGATAGATGAGGGGAGAAGAGAGAGTTTACAGTGACTGGCCTCAATTTTTTCTGTGAAATGTAAGGCAAAGTTCTTAGCTGAGAGCCTGGGGGGAGGGGGAGCTATGAGAGGTTTGAGAGGGGATGAAAAGGTTTGGAAGAGCTGCTGTGGAGAATGGGAGAGTGACTTGATAAGGGAAGTATAGTAGGATTGCCTAGCAGCAATGAAGACCCAGTTGAGATTGTGTAACATAAATTTATAATAGACCCAGTCAGAAAAGTGGTATGATTTCCTCCACCTTCATTTAGCAGCACATATGTAGAGTGAAAGTGACAAATGGTGGGAATGATCCAAAACTGAGGCTTGGCTAGGCACAATTGCTAATATGATAAGGGGGCTGAAAATTCAAAAGAGGAGGACAGTATAAAGTTGAATTAATTCGCGAAGAGGTCGAAATGGGCAGAAAAGGAAAGAGTAGTTAATACAGGGGAAATGGCTGAGGAGATAATTGAGGGGTCAAAGGATTGGAGGTCACAGTGCAAAGAGTAGGGTTTTGTAAGAGAAAGCAGAGGGGGAGATAAATAGCCAATCAGATTGTAATCAGATAAGGGAAATTAAGGATTCTCTAACATAAACACGGTACATTTATGAGTGATGGCAAGATCCAGGGTATGACCATCTTTGTATGTGGCTGAGGTAGGCTGAAAGACTAGCTCATGAGAAGTGAGTAGGTTGATGAACTTAGTAGTTAGGGTTTTTGAGGCAAAATTAATATGTATGTTGAAGTCCCCTAGTATGACAGCAGGAATTGGGGAGGAGAGAAATATCGAGAGCCAGATATTGAACTCATGGAAGAAAGAAGAGGAGTGACCTGGGGATCTGTAGATAATAGTTACCAGGATTTTGATTGGGAAGATTTGAGTTCAAGTCTTATCTCTAATATTTGTTAATCATATGACCCAAGGCAAGTTATTTTGCTTTATGAACTTCAATTTCCTCATCATTACAATGGGGATGATAATCTTTGCACAACTTCCTAAGTGATGTTGGGAGGAAAGTATTTTATAAACCTTTAAACATAATAGAAATGTGAGTTGTTATTAAAATGTCACCACCATAACTCTTATACCCCTATCTCTCATTGCCTAGAATTCCACTTCAAAGGTAATTAGCTCCATTGATCCCTAATTTAAAATACAAATTCAACAATACTTTAATTAAGACATTATTATGTGCAGAGCAGTCTTTGAGGCAATCATGTCCCACCCCAGCACCAGGCACAGTGTTATACAAACTGTAAGAGCTTAATAAAGGTTCATTCATTGAATTGGATAATAATTTTATCATTGCTTATAATAAGAGCCATGAGTTCTCAAGGAATATACTACCAAAATGCAAACAAAGCTGGAAAAGCTACAGGTTTAGGCCTAATGAGGGACTGCGTGTCTGCCAGAGGACCAGCCCAGCTGAGTGCAGAAAAATTTATTCCCCAGGGAGTTGGCCACCAGGGAGTGAATGTCTTTGCCCACAGTGTTTCATTATGATCATCTACTTCATTATGATCGTCTACTAAAGTACAGAAGGGTTGTATCCTACATCAGTAGAGGATGTTTGAAATACTATTGGTGGCAACTAGATGGCACAATAGATAAGAATGCTACACTTGGAGTCAGGAAGATATGAGTTCAAATCCTTCCTCAGACATTTAGTTGCTATGTAACCTTGGGCAAATCACTTAACCTCTCAGCCTCAATTTTCTCTTCAATAAAATGGGGATCACTTTACTTTTTTATTCAATTTCATTTTTATTTTCAGTTCCTGATTTTCTTCCTCCCTTTACTCCTCTGCATCCAAAGAGAACACAAGCATTACCATATCCATTATAAATATGAAGTCATGCAAAACATATTTTGATATTAGTTATATTCCAAAAGAATGAAAAAAGAAAAGAAAAAGGAAGAAAGAGAAAATAATATGGTTCAGTCTTCACTCTGAGTCTGTCAGTTCTCTATCTAGAGGTAAATAGCATTTTTCATCATGAATCTTGGAATGGTGGTAGATCATTGTATTGATCAGATTCACTAAGTCTTTCAGAGTTGATTCTCTTTATAATATTGCTATTACTGTGTGCATTGTTCTCCTGGTTTTGCTCACCTCATTCTACATCAGTTCAGGACCTACCAGGTTTTCCTGAAACCATTCTCTTCATCATTTCTTACAGCATAATAGTTTTCCATCACATTCATATACATAACTTTTTCAGCCATTCCCCAGTTGGACAAAATGGGGATAATTTTAAATGCTTACTTTACAGGTTTGTTATGAAGATCAAATAACATAATATATTTAAAGCTCTTTGCAAACATTCAATTGCTATATAAATGTTGGTTCTTATTAAATGTAGAATTGGCTCATGGCCTTGCAATATGATGGTGATGATAGTATAGCAATCCTGCTAACCCAAAATTGTCTTATAAAAATTACATGTGGATCAGAAACCAGGATGTGGAGCACTCCTAATGTGACTGGCACACCGCCATCCCCAAGAACATTTCACACAGCATCAGCGATCATCGGAAACCAGCTATATGTTTTTGGTGGTGGGGAAAAAGGTGCCAAGCCTGTTCAGGACACACAGCTCCACGTATTTGACGCAAGTATGGCTAACAAATGATTCATTTATTCAGTCATCCAACAAACTTCAAGCCCTCATCACCTTTTTCTTATACTATTTCTTAATAGCCTCATTGCTTTAACTTTCTCCTCTTCAATCTGTCCTTCATACTGCTGCCAAAATAATCTTTCTAATGTACAAGTCTAATCATGGCCTTCCTCTGACCAAAATCCTTCAATGATTCCCCATTTCCCATAAGATAAAATATAAATGTCGTATCTTGGCATTCATGACCTTCTACTACATAGCTTCAAATGAGTAATTTCATATTATCTCCCCTTAATACATTCTAGGTGCTGACCAAACTGGATTACTCAGCTGTTCCCTGGTTTTGTGTGGCTGTTTCCTCTTACTGTGTAACCATGTAGGCCATCCCCAATGACTGAAGTGCCCTTCTTCATCTCCAACTTTTGAGAACATTTTTTTTTTGAGAACCTTTTCTTAATTCAAGATCCAGCGTAGGTGGATCCTCAATGAAGCCTTTTCTGATTTCCTCTTCTGAAAGTAGTCTTTCCTTTCTCATATTTTTCTGGAGTACTTTGGAGTTTTCTTTCCCCCCCATCATATTCTGCTTTGTTTCACATTTATTTATATCATTATTGTATACCCACCCAAACCCCTAGTGGACTGAAAATTTCATGAGATTATGAACTGTCAATTTTTTATCTTTGTATCTATAGTACTGACCACAGGGCTGAACACATAATAGTCATTTAAATGGTATTTGTTGAATTGAATTGAAATTGGGTACTTCCTTTGCAAAACATGGTATCAGGTGTTATGAGGGAGACAGATATAGGGCACCTGGTCCCTGGTCAAAGGAGCTTACAATTGAGTCAGAGAGACAGAATGCAAATATCAGACAGTATGGTAGCACGGAAAGATCCCTGTTTGGAAAGTCTGAGTTCTAATCTCTACTCTACCACTGACTACTAGGTAAGTCATTTGGCATCTTTTGGACATAAAGTTCAAATCTGCTTGAACTCTGAGGTTTGTTTTTTCTAGAAAGCTTATGAGCCTCAGCCACAAAATTAAATGCTGGGTGGGTCTAGATTTTCTTCTATCTCTATCTCAGATTTCTCATCTATAAAATGAGAAGGCTGAACTAAGGTTCCTTCCAGCTCTGACCTTCTCTTTCTGTATTTTAAAATTCCATGTTCTAAGGTCCATTCCAGCTCAGATCTTCTAGAATCTATATTCTCACATTCTGTGTTCAGAGATCCCTTCCAGCTCTAACAATCTGTCATCTGTGATCTATACTTGCTTTCAAGTTCTCATTGGAAACTCCCAACAGTGATTTCATTTACATTTCTTTCTTTTGGCAGTGGGCAGTTTTGAATGAGATTTAAAAAGAGTAACAGCATGTGTAAAATATAATTTTCATTTGCATCTTCCATTCCAGATGGGGCTTGCTTTGAGAAAACCTAACAGACAAAAACTTAAGCTACAGAGCAGATAAATTTGGTGGAGGGAAATAAAGGGATTTGTTCACATCACCAAAAGATTTTCTCACTTTCAAAAAAGACTCCACCATAGATTTCTTTTCATAATAACAACAATTATCTATTTCATTAGTGGCTTTGGCCAAAAAAAACCCCATCACCTTTCAGCCAACCTTCTAGCGATGAGCCTCTTTGCTCTTAGCTAGCCTGGTCCTTGAACTGTGTAAGTGTGGTCCTTCTTTGAGGCTGTACTCAAAATCTTTCCAGCCTGGTAGAACCTAACAGAACCTAACACCATTGAGAGAGCCTCCAAGAGCCCAGGATTGCTTTAAAAACATTTTTTAATTTATGGAATAAAACAAGCATTTCCATAACATTGTACAGGAAAAAAGATGATTGTATATGAAACTGCAAATCTACTATATACAACTTGCTATTCCCTTCAAACGTACAAAAAAATTATCATGTAATTTTTTTCCTTTTTTTCCCCTCCCCCCACCCTATCTGCATCCAGAGAAAGAACTGATAAATAGAAATATGTATAGAATAATTTTAAATAATAATTCAATAAACATTTAGCAAGCACTTATGCAAGGCCATGTGTTGGGCACTGGACTTCAAAGATGAAAAGTGACATAGCTCTTGCCTTCAAAGACCTGCAAGCTTAAAAAGAGGGGATGTGGCATATGGCATGTGGCATGCAAAGAGTCAGGAAGAATTGAGTATAAGTACTACCTCATACACCGACCTCCTGTCATCATTTAACCTCTCAGTGCTTGCAGGCAACTCCCTAAGACTACAAAATCCAGACCATTTGCTAATTTTTGTCAGTGGAAAGAATTTCCACACCTGTTGTGCTCTATATTGATAAAATAGCAACAGCAATAATAATAGCTAACATTTACATAATATTTCAAGGTTTGTAAAGCCCATTTACATATGTATACACACATACATATATATATATATAAAATCTCATATGATCTTCATAACTCTGAGAGATAGTGCTATTATTATCCCCATTTCACAGATGAGGAAACAGAGAGGTTAAATGATTTGCCTCGGATCACATAGCTTATTATGTGTCTGAGGCAGAATTTGTATGCAAGTCTTCCTGATTTCAAGACTAGGACTCTGACACCTAGCTTCCTTACCCATCCCCCACCCCCCACCCCCAAATTTCTGTGCACGCAAATAGTAGGATACAAAGTAGAATGTTTAGGGGGAGATAAAAGCCAAGAAAAGTGCTATGATGGTGACAATCTTTTCTAACATTTCTTCTGCATCTTCAAATTTTGTGACCATGAATGGTCTCTAGATGCTGAGTTCTCTTCTAGCTCTAAATCTGTGGGTATAATAATAGCTCCAATTTCCAGAACACTTGAATGTTTATAAAGCACTTTGTTCACAATAGCCCTATAAGGTATATATTGCAAATTTTATTATCTCCATTTTGCAAAAGAGGAAACTGGGCCTCTAAGGGATGAGGTAACATAGCCACAGTAATATAGCCAAGAGATGCCAGACCCGAGAGTTGAACCTGGCTCATTTGAGCCCATGTACTATGCTTTTCCCATTATGACAGTTTATTCACCAAGATCCTATTTAAACACAACTTTTCAGGAATGACCTTCAGCATGAAATGAGATCCATCTATTCTCAGAAAACTTTAAAAGTTTGCTATTTCAAATGATGCCAATATACATGCAGTTGAGGGGTACCTGTGTGTTTCCAAAGTACTGCTGCCTAATGTCATTGTATTTTATATTTTCAGCAACATTGAGCTGGTCACAGCCAGAAACCTGCGGGGAACCACCCCCACCTCGTCATGGCCATGTGATGGTGGCATTGGGGCCAAAGCTCTTTGTCCATGGTGGTTTGGCAGGGGATGAATTCTATGATGATCTATATTGCATAGACACAAGTAAGTGGAGTAGAAATGGAGGTGGGAATGGGAAAAATGACTTTTACAAACAGTTTGTGGTGTACCAGATATATGAATTTGCAAGCAGGTAATCATGCTGAATATTAATTTTTATATCTTCACTTAATACCAATAACTTAGTATTATAAAGCTTTAAGATTTGCAAAGCTGTTAAGGTATATTCTTACTTAAGCCTCACAATCACTTCCATGAGATAGGTGCTATAGGCATTATTCCTCCCCCCCCCCATTTTACAGATAAGAAAACTGAGACTCAGAGAAGTTAAGAAACTTTCTCGTAGTTATGCTACTAATAAGTTCACGGATGGGATTAGTTCTTTCCTGACTCCAAGGCCAGTGCCCCTTCTACTACACCATACTGCTGCTGCTTATGGTGTTTTAATGTTTATAAAGGACTTTTCTTCTCATCAATCCTGCAAAATGTGTAGAAAAAGTATAATTTTGCCCATTTTACATATGTATTGGCTGTTATCTCAGCCCAGATCTCCAAACTCTGAAGTTCCAGCATTCTTTCCACTACTGTTCATTATAGTTGAGACAGCACTACCCATTAAGAACCTAGGTTTAATGGCTTTTAGGACCCACTATTCTGCTCTGAGAAGGCCAGAAAGAGCTCAGATTTTACATAAGGACAATTTGCAACAACTACCCTTAGCCATCTCCTTGATTTCCTCATGATTCTGGCTACTGGATAAACTTTAGTTTGTCAATGTCCCTTCATTGTGTCATGTTTGTTCTTCTGGGCAAACGGCAGGCAAAATAGAACTGTGGCTTTTAGAACAAAGATTTAAATGAATGAGGGCCCCTCTAAAGTCCTTTTTACTAAAACTGATGTTCATCATCCTAAATGTTAGAGATGCAAAACAGTCCCTGCTTTTAAGAAAGTTATGCTCTACAGGAAAGGATAAATATAATACAAAGGAGTGATGGTAGCAAAGGAGAGAGAGATAAAATGTTCTGGAAGACTTGAAGGTGAGATAATATTTTCAGCTGGGTGGAGAATTAGGGAAATCTACCTAAACTGAAACCGTTGTTTTCTCATTTGCTTCTGAAACAATGTTCACTCTTTTGGTAGATGACATGAAATGGGAGAAGTTAGAAACCACAGGGGATGTCCCATCAGGCTGTGCTGCCCATTCCGCCGTGGCCATTGGGAAGCACATATACGTCTTTGGAGGAATGGCTCCCACAGGGGCACTGGCTACAATGTACCAATATCACATAGGTAGGAAGTTCAGTTTTTACCTCTTTAAACCAATGTTTCAACTGTTACTCTGGAAAATGCTACATTACTTTGAATTTTCAGTGAGGCTATGAGTAGCAATGAGTCTGAGGGATTAGAAGGTGCATTTATGGGGAAATTTTTTTTGGTGATATAAATATTTTCCAATTATATGTAAACAAATTTTAACATTCGTTTAAAAAATTTTTGAGTTCCAAATTTTCTCTCTCCCTCCTGTCCCCTCTTACCCTTTGAGAAGGCAAGCAATATGATATAAAGTCACATAAAACATATTTCCATATTTTATTGTTGTTCAGTCGTTTCAATCATGTCCAACTCCTCATGACCCTATTTGGGGTTTTCTTGGGGAAGATACTAAGGTGATTTGCCATTTTTTTCTCCAGTTCATTTTACAGATGAGGAAACTGAGGCAAACAGGGTTATGTGACTTGCCCAGGGTTACATAGATAGTTACGTGTCTGAGGCCACATTTGACCTCAGGCAGATGAGACTTCCTGATTCCTGGCCTGGTTTTCTATCTCCTGCACCACCTAGCTGTCCCATTTCCATATTAGCCATGTTGCAAAAGAAAAGACACACACAGAAGTATGCTTCAATCTGCTCTCACAGTTAATCAGTTCTCTTCGTGGACAGGGATACCATTTTTCATCATGGGTCCTTTGGAATTGTCTTGGATCATTGTCTTGATTAGAGTAGCTAAGTCTTATGCTGTTGATCATCCTTACAATACTGAGTTTACTGTGTACAATGTTCTGGTTCTGTTCACTTCACTTTGCATCAGTTCACATAAGGCTTCTATGAGGAAATTTTGACATAAAAGTAACTGCCATGGGCCTTTTTCTTTATTACTGTTGTGCAGATCTTAGAGGCCTGGCTTATTCAGTGAGTCCCAGAGTACCTGGGCTGGGAAAGGGGTGGGTTTCATGCTGTGTAGAACTATGGTTCGTAACCTTTGTGTCCAGGATCCCTTGGGCAATCTAGTGAAGCCAATGGACCCCTTCTCAGAATAATATTTTTAAGGGCATAAAATGAAATACATAGAATTACAAAGGAAGTTAATTATATTGAAGTACCATTATAAAAATATTTTTTAAAAATTCATGGACCACAGGTTATGAACCCTTGCTATAAACACTGGTTCCTTTGACTTTCTTCCTTTCTCTCTGTTTATTTCTCTTCTTTGTTCTTTATTTTTAAATAATTTATCGATCTCTTAATTTCCAACAACAGAAACACCAAATAAAATACTCTTATAGCTATTTATACCTAAAAATACTTTCTACATATAATATATCCATTTTAAATATTTGTCTGAACTTGTGATTTTATCAGCACAGAGAACTTTAAGGAAATTCCCTCTACCAATGCAAACAGTAACTCTTCTGCATTTTAACATTCTGCATATTAGAGAGTTGCCTAGACCATTGAGAAGCTGTAACCTGTCCAGGTTCACACAGCCAGCAGGTGTCAGAGGTAGAACTTGAATGTACATGGTCCTGACTCTGAGGCAGACAGTCCTATCTACACAACCTATCTCTCATGTCCATAGCTCATGTGTTACTAACTCCATATTCTTTTCTGTTTGTTCATTAATCTCTGTATTTGTTTATACATTTTTTAAAAATATGGTTTAAATCAACATGATTTGTGTTTTGGTTCTACTTTCCCTTCACATTATTTTGTATGTCTTTTCAGCTACCTTTATATTCCTCTCTTTTTCTTTTTGGAGGGAGGATTCCAGATCTATGAGTTCATTGAAGTAAAGAGCTTCCAGTATGGAACTCCCTCCATTAATGCAGCTTTGTGGCTCATCCATAGAGAGTTGTCTGGACACTGACAGGTTAAGTATATTTATTGCCCACGCTACATAGCTAGTATGTGTAGGGACAGTACTTACATCTACTTCTTCAATGCAATTCAATAACTCTCTAACTAAATGTCTCATGTTCCAGGTTCTGTGCTAGATTCTAGCTAGCCCTTTATCCACTATTACTGTGCTGCTTTTTGTATTCTTCATGTATCATTTCAATGACATTGTAGTATTATTTTGATATTTCATAGTTTATTCAATAGTTGAATTTTGAAATATTTAGGTTTTTTTTCTAGTTTCTAATTATAAACATTGCTAATATACATATAGATACATGAACATAGGGACAGCTAAGTGGTGCAATAGATAGAGTGCCAGGCCTTTAGTCAGGAAGACTCATTTTCCTGAGTTCAAATCTGGCTTCAGACACTTACTAGCTGTGTGATCCTGGGCAAGTCACTTAACTCTGTTTGCTTCAGTTTCCTCACCTGTAAAAAAGCTGGCAAAATGCAAATGCAAAATTTTTTGCAAAAGCAAAGAATGGCAAACTACTCTAGCATCTTTGCCAAGAAAACCCTCAGTGAGGTTATGAAGAGTCCAACATGACTGAAAACAACTGAACAATAACATACGGACATATATCATTTTTTTTCTTTATGATAATACTTTGAGTTTATTCTCAATAATAGAATTATTAGAACAACAGATGACATTTTGTGATGTTTGTATATTACCAAAATGCCCCCTGAAAATTTTTTTTACCAGTTTTAAATTCCAATAATAATGTATGAATGTTTCTGGTTTGTTTTTTGTTTTTGTTTTCAAACACAGAAAAACAACACTGGAGCCTGCTTAAATTTGATACATATTCACCCCCTGGACGACTGGATCATTCAATGTGCATCATTCCTTGGCATGTGGCTCCTGCCTCTGCAGAAGAACATACAAATATAGGCAGTGTCAATAGCAATGTAGAGAAAGAAGGCTTAGCTGATGAAATTGTGAAAGGTGATGACTTAGATCAGAAGGAGACAGACACATTCCTGTGCTTAGTGTTTGGTGGGATGAATACTGAAGGGGAAATCTACAGTGACTGTGTTGTAACACTAGTTGACTAATAAAATTCATGTTTTCTTAATATCTTTCAAATTTTCTATGTTAAGAAATTAGAAGTGAACAACTGTTAGGGGAAGATAGGACAGCAACATTAATTTTATACTAGAAGCTTAAGTGTTTTGTGCTGTACAATGTTTCCATATTGACACAGTCAGATTGACCAGATAAAGAGATTATCTAAAAAGTAAAAAACTTCAAGAATCATAGAATGTTAGAGATGGAAGGGGACCTTAGACTAGAAGTTCTTAAACTTTTGTGTGTGTCATGGATGTTAAAAAAAAAAAACAACAAATAAACAAGTTTGCAAACCTTGTGTTAAGAACCTCTGCCTTACAATTTAGACTATTAGAACATGAAACACAAGATGCTGGAATTCCAAACAGGCTTAGAGATCACCTGGTCCAACCCTCTTATTTTACTTATGAGGAAATTAAGACTTAGTGGTTGGTTTAGTAACTTGCCTAAGGTCATACCAACTAGTAAGAGAACTAGGACTTTCATCATTTCCTGACACTTAGTCCAGTACTTTTCCCCCTCTACCACATTTTCTCCCTATGATCATGGAAATCCTATCTTGCACTAGCAGCGTGACCTAGATAGCTGCAGGAACTACTTGTCAACCAATATGTCTATGTTTCACAAAAGTCAATACAGTCAGGTGGTTTGTATTAAACTGCAGTTCTGCAGCAAAGGCGTTCATTGCAGCTTGAACTGAAAAGAGATCTCAAACTACTAAACAATTTTCAGCAAAAGGCCATTCATTCAAGGAGAGGGATTGAACATTCATTAGCTTTATTGAGTTTTGTATGGCAGGACTGGTCCTACTGTTCTTGGGAGGATGTCTCTTTTCAAAGCAATGGTCTCTTCCCTAATTCCTGCCTCTCCTCTCTCCCTGTCCCACATCTTGCAAGTCACTATGAGATTTGCCTTTAGACAATTTAGTTCTCAGAAACAAGGATGGTTTAATCCAAGAATACTGGAATCAGAAAACCTAGTTTCAAATGTTGGCTGGACTGCTTTACTGCATGACATTAGTCATTTAATCCCTCTTCATCTCATTTTCCTCAAGTGCAAAATGAGAAAGTTAGCCTAGATAATCTCTAAGGACCCTTCATGCTCTGTTTCCTACAACTCTATAAACATAACCTACAATTGGTACCTATTGATAACCATATCACATATAAATTTCTACCTCACTTTCAAGTCCCTAGTTCTACCCACATCTACCTAATCTCACTATTCCAGACACCAGCTTTCTGCTTCAAGTATTTATTCATAATGAGGAGGACCTGAGTTCAAATCCAGCCTCAGACCAAACATTTGACACTTACTAGCTGTGTGACCCTGGGCAAATTACTTAACCCCAATTGCCTAAAAAAATAATAATAATAAAAAGTATTCATTTATGTTCAACATTTATTAAATGCCTACTGTGTACAGCATACCAGGAGAAAGTTTAGATAAGACACAAGTTCTACTTTCAGCTGTTTACAGTCTAGTAGGGGGATAAGACACCAGCACTCATAGATATATTGCACATGACATAAATTAGAGAGGCACAAAAGAAAATGTTATGTGAGTTTCAAGGGAAAATTCATTAACAGATGTTAGGGGATCAAGCATAGCTTCATAGGGGAGCTGACATTTGGGCTGGGATTAAATAATGGCTGGGGATTTGGTTAGAGAGATAGGGTGGGCATGGCAGGTGTAAGGAACTATAAACAATAGCAGTCATAGGAAGATGGTGGATTCTAGAGATAGGGAAGCAGTTCATTTTTCCTGGAGCATAGAGTATGTAGAGGAAAATCATAACATTGTGAAGGACCTTGGACGCCAGGCAAAGGAATCAGTCTTACTCAAGAGGCAATAGAAAGCACTAGAATATTTTTGAGTAGAAGAATGACATGAATAGATTTATTTGTAAAAACAAAACAGTATTCTGGCAGAATATGAAGGATGGATTGGTAGAAGCAAAGAGTAGGAGCAGAAATCTCTGCTAGGAAGCTATTACAGTAACCTAGGCAAGATGGTTTTTGAAGGTTGGTGGTAGAGGGAACAGGGCAGAAGGAGATATGCAGAGGTATAATTGACAGGATTTGATAATTGATTGTAGCAGTGGGATGACCAAGTGGAGATATTCTATAAGCAGCTAGAGAATATGGGGTTGTAGATTTAGAACCTTAACGGCTATCTAGTTTAACACCCCCATTTAATAGATGGAGAAACTGAGGCCCAGAGAAATTTTTTTTTTCCCAGGGTCACACAGATAAGCAGCAATTGGGACTAAATCTATTTTTCATGCTGTTACATGCAGTTCCATACCTGTTTAAATATATAGTCTTTAAACGTTTGACTTTATTTTCATAAGGATGACTCACTTTTCTAAACAGAAAAATCTCACTCAAAATGGAATTTCACTTATGTGCATTTTTTTAAAAATCTCTATACATGGTTTACCTCCCTAACCCTAACCCACACTCTCTCTGTAGTGAAAAACTCTGAATAAGGTTGGTATCTCATTTCTGTAATCCCAGAGTTTAGCATAGGAGGTCGGGTGTGATGGGCACTCAAATTTGATAATCATATTAAAGCATCTATTATGTGTAATAGTACTGGGGTAGGTATTAAGGATACAAACAACATACAGTCTCTGCCCTCAAGGAGCTTACATTTTTTTGAAGATACAAACAAGTAAACAGTTTAATAAATATAAATTGAAGAGGAAGAGAGTGTTAACTGAGGGAGGTCAAAAAAGGCTTTCCTTATTGGGGTGGGGTGGGGGTGCCACCTGAGCTGAGAACTAAAGGAAACTAAATATTCTAAGAGGTGACCATGAAGAGGGAACATATTTTAGAACAATCTATACAGAAAAGTAGGAGCAAGATATGTATGTTGGGTTTGGGGAAGAGCTACTGGATCATTTTGGCTGGCAAGCAGTATGAAAGAGAATATGAAATACCTAAAAAGATGAACTAGTGTCAAATTGTGAGGGACTTTGAAGGTCAGGATGGAGAGTTTGCATTTTATCCTAGAGGCAATAAGGAAATCACTGAAGATTCTTTGAGCAGCAAAGTGACCTTTTTATTTTTAGGGAGATTATCTTGGCAACTGTGCAGATAAAGGTAAGGGGAGACTAAAAGCTCCTCTAATTGGGAGGCTAACGCATTAATCCAGGAGAAAGAAGAGTAGTGTCAGAGTGGGGAGAAGGGGGATTAAGATGCTGTGCACATTTAATTGACGAGATTTGTCACCTGACTAGATATAGGGAGTAAGGAACAGGGAAGAGTTAAGACTGATCCTCTGATGCTGTCAACTTGGGAGACTAGGATGGTGGTGTCAATATTGATAAGTTTGGGGGGAAATGTCTTGAGAGGGATAGGGTGCCGAGTTGTGTTTGGACATGTAAATGTTAATAACTAGAATTTGAATACTAAGTCATTGAGTATTGCTGCTGCTATGAGTTTGAATTGAAAATATTAACTAGCAGCAGCCAGTCTTAAATGTCAGGATTTTTTTCTTTAACAAGAATTCAACAAAATAAGAAACAATCAAAGAAGTTGCATCTGGTAAGACAGCTATTGAAGAAAAAGCATGGAACTTAATTTTGGGAAATTTAAATGTGAATTCTCACTCCAACTTAACTGTTGGAGAGACCTGGGTTCAGTTTCTGCCTCTGAAATTTCCTAGATATTTAAGCAACTTACAAAACTCATTTTATACCTGTAAAATGGGCAATACCCTTATTATCTTCCTTGAGGTCATTGTGCAAACTTGAAAGTGGAACTCACTTGTAATTAGCTGTGACAAATAAGCAAGTCATAAACTCATGAGCCTTTTTCTTATGTAGAAAATTGTCATAATACCTTTGTGGTAGAGTTAAGAAGCTTTGTGAACTGTACACCATATCCAGAAGCTAGTGACCTAAGACCAGATCACTTCAATTTCAGATATTATCTAATTTGCTTTGTTACACACAAATACTGAAGACTGAAGTCCTGGTCCCTCGGAGCATTTTCTGAAATAAAGTTGTTAGAAGCAAGTCTTGGGGAACTTAGAAACTAACTTGTGCTTAAACCCCACTATTGCTTTATGACTGTTCTTTTAGTTAACAGAAGAATGAAAGTTGCTGTAAGTATTTAAATGACATTCTAAAAACTTTATTTAAAAGTTACTTTTGGTTGAGTATTTTAATTGTAATTTGTAATTATTAATCTCCAATTGGGTGTCATCCAGCCCTTTCCACCAAATGTCAATGCGTATGTGCTTAGAATTACTTTTGAAAAGATTGTTTAAAGAATTAGTACCAAAATAAATATTAAGCACAAGATCCAAGTAATTTGTTGTCATTTTCAAAGGTTCCCTGGCAGAGAAAAAATAACTATGTACCACAGATCAAGAGAGTCGTGATCCATGTTTAACTGTTAAGTAACCTTTGCTAAGTCCTGTTATCTCTCTGGTACTTTTTTTCCTCCTTTGAGTTTCATAGATGCTCTTTAAAGTCCGTTTTTGTTTAACATACTTAACAATTCTAGTAAGGAATACATAGCCATGTCTAACCTTAGTAGGCTCTTTACAGTGTAACCCCTCTGAAAAATCTCTGAAAAGGTAAGAAAAATCAAGAGCAGGGCTAAAAGGCACCTTTTTTATTAATCTAGTTCAAACCCTCATTTGACAGATATCTAAAGATAAATCAACTTGCCCTTTGTCTTATCTGTTCCTCAATAAAGACCCTATTTCTTTCTATGTTGAGTCTGGCTTTCCTAGAGCAGGAGTTCTTAACCTTGTTTCTCATCATGAACTCCTTTGGTAGTAGCATAGTAAAGTCTACGGACCCCTTCTCAAAATGTTTAGAAATGCATGGACATGGACATGGACACACACACACACACACACACACACACACACACGATTATGAAAGGAAAACAAAGGGCATTGAGAATAAAGATGTAGTTTTTTCCCCATTTGAGTTCATGTATCCCAGATTAAGAATCCTTATCCTACAGGATAAATGAAACCATATTACTCCATGGAAATAAGAGTACTAAATCAGTTTCTAGCCCATTTGGGAAGGACTATTTGGTGAAATAGAAAATATTGGCCTAGAACTCAGAAAACCTGTTTTATTACTTCTGCCATTGACTAGTTGTGTATAAGGGGACAAGGTCCTAATGTAGCTCTAACTCCAGTATCCAACTTCCACCACTAGGCTTGAAGACTGAAAGCTGATTCATCACTTGCTCTCTTATAAAGTGAGTCCTAATACTAGCAATCTCTTACCTTTCATCATGTTATTTGTAAACTTCAAATGGGTTACAGAAG